GCTGCGCCCTAACACCAGAACCCCTCACCCAGGGGCCATGAAATTCACAATTTTGGAAGAGGCATTCTTCCTCATCATAATTATGTACTTAGTTTATGGGCTGAATACTCAGGGGCAGAGGAGAAGATTTTCAAAGAATTAATGTATTTTCACTATATAATCATTAGAGTCCCGCCCTAACACTAGAACCCATGACCCAAGGCCATGAAATTCACAATTTTGGAAGAGGCATTGTGCTTCCTCATCATAACTATGTACTTAGTTCATTGGCTAAATACCCAGGAGCAGAGGAGAAGATTTTTAAAGAATTAATGCATTTTCACTATATAATCATTAGATCCCCACCCTAGCGCCAGAACCCCTGACCCTTTGGCCATGAAATTCACAATTTTGGAAGAGGCATTCCTCCTCATCATAACTATGTACTTAGTTCATTGGCTAAATACCCAGGAGCAGAGGAGAAGATTTTCAAAGAATTAATGCATTTTCACTATATAATCATTAGATCCCCACCCTAGCGCCAGAACCCCTGACCCTGGGGCCATGAAATTCACAGTTTTGGAAGAGGCATTCTTCCTCATCATAACTATGTACTTAGTTCATTGGCTAAATACCCAGGAGCAGAGGAAAAGATTTTTAAAGAATTAATGCATTTTCACTATATAATCATTCGATCCCCACCCTAGCGCCAAGACCCCTGACCCTGGGGCCATGAATTTCAAAATTTTGGTAGAGAGCTCAATGCTTATTACAATAATGCCAGCAGTTTGACTGCTTGATGTCCAGCAGTAAAGAAGAAGATTTTTTTAAAGAATGCATTAATTTTGATGGTTTTAGCCCCACCCCTCAGGGGGACAGGGAACATGAATTTCGCAATTTTTACTTCCCTTCACCTATAGATGCTATATGCCAAATTTGGTTGAAATTGGTTCGGTGGTTCCAGAGAAGAAGCTGAAAATGTTCAAAAGTTTACGAACGACGACGGATAAAAACAGATAGCAATAGATCACCTGAGCGACTCGGGTGACCTAATAATAAATGTTCTCCAACAGTTATTGATGTACTGAAAAGTTGTGGAAAATTAGAGGAGTATATTGCCTTCCAGAGACTTGTTTCGGGGGAAAAATTTCCCTTAACAACAAAGCATTTTTACTTTTTTTAGCCGTGGTACGTTGGTTTGGATTATATAGAATCCTCAACGTGACGGATGCGCTATTCGAACGAAGTGAAATTATTTTGGCAGACAGGTCCAAGGCTTTTTCATGGAAGATTTCTCAGATTCATGGGTGGACCAAATAATTCCGAAGACATTCTTTCGGGTGAGTCGAATAGGAGAAATTGCAGATCGGAAAATTCGAAGGTCAGTTTCACAGTACCGAACAGAAAAGTAGTTGGTGGAGGATGCATCCTTTATACCTTATAAAAGCCCAGGAATTATCCATGAAATGATCGAAGATATAGTTGCTAACGACAGCGAATCGTTATCATACAAGTTATGTGTCGATGGGAAAAATAATAAATCCTTGTTCGAGAGGGGAAGTTGATTTTTGGGGTTTTGAAGATAGACCAACTTACAAGGAGAAACAAAGTCGTCTGAAAAACGAGCTTGATTTTGTCAGGTTTACTATCTCATCAAATATACCTAGATCATGTATATGCATTATCAAGCACGGACGTTGTACAAACACAATTACTTACAAATTGCAGAATTCTCATTAAAATAAATAGCAAAAGACTCAGTGAACTTAGAAAACTACAGATAAAAAAGAAATGTTTCTGAAAACTTTAAATGAGAAATGTGGAGCCGATTGGAGAAAAAGTAATTATGCAATGGTAATAAGTTCTATAAGAACTTCAATATTACAATAGAAAACACGGTTGCAAGTTTATTGCTCTGAAATGATTCTTTGATGTATGGCTACAGCTCTTTGTGGAGTTTCCCATCTTTCAGAAACAGATGATAGCGTTACTTTGGAGAAGCAAAGCAACATTGTGTGCCTGGCATCTGGTGGATCAATTGAAAATCCACCTCTCGTGAAACAAAGGACTGATGTTTGGTATGCATTGAAAAAGCAAAGTAAAATAACAGGAAGCACAATAAACACGGCGTTGGGATTTGACGGGTTAAAGAAGCAAATGTCATTCTGGGAGGAGAAGAATGCTAACAAGGAAGCTGAACAAGTTCAAAATTACTTAAAAGAGAGGTTTGAATATGGTACCAGAAATGAACTAAATGCAGTAGCAACACTGATATGAAAATATCTCCCTGCAATTCACCCAACGATTCGGTTCTATGAAGAAGGATGTTATGCATGTTCACATGATGGCGAAGTTGATCTCATTGTAAGTCCAGATGGAAGTATTCGTAGCTGTGATGAAGAAATCGTTTTCGGAATTGAAATCAAATGTCCGATTCCCGGAGAATTGTACACCACCTATTCACTACAGTATTCCACACTATTACATCCCTCAAATACTTAGTGAAATGCATGTATTGGGTGTGAAAGAACTACATTTTCTCTCTTATTCTGAAGAGTCAATTGGTGTTTTAAAGGCTGAATTTGACAAAGAGTTCTCTAAAGAGATTTTTGGATTCTTCCTATTTACCAAAGAGACTTGGAGATAATGTCTCTAGAATAAGGTTAAAAATAAAAGCATATTGCGAATCAAAAGTAGAACTTCTTGTAGAATTTCCCTCCAGCAAAGGTGTTCAGTGTAATCACTCTTCTTCCGATCAGACTGGGCAAATTCACCATAAGATCCAGTTATATACAATAAAATACAATATATACAATATAAAAAATATTATGGATTCTGTGGACGATTACGTGTGATGGTGACCCAAACATGAAAAAGTAGATCCTGACACTTTGTCAGAATGGATTAAAAGTATCAGATGGATGTTGAAATCTTACATTAAGCGATTGAGGGGCAATATGAAAAGCATCTATCCTGTCTTCAATACTTCGGAAATGAAAACAAGAATTAGATTACACGATCAATATGATTGATTGATTGTACGTTGTTTTACCTCCCATTCGAGAATTTTTCACTCATAAAGAGACGTCACTATATACCGGTGAAGGGCTTCAAATTTAGACCTTTACTCGGCACTCAGTGCCATTGAGCAGTGAGGGATCTTTATCGTGCCAACGTCTACCGTGACACGGTGCCTCGGTTTTTAAGGTCTCATCTGAAAGACCAGCAACTTTCACTTCAAAGTGCCGAGCGCTTGGCGAAGGAACAGTTGCTGCCTATTTTTTATCGACTTAGGTCAGTCGCGACCGTGATTCGAACACACGCCCTTCCGATCACCGTGCGAGCGCTCTACCGACTGAGCTACCGTGACGGCCTCGATCAATATATACTGGTTTCGGTTGACAAAGCAGGTAACAATGTAGTCTTTGTTTGTAAGGCTCATCATTTTAATTGTAATACCATTGTAGAAGGGCTGGGATTTAATTCTGCAAGTAGTAATCCAATTCATATCCGTAGCTCTCTTTCTAAATCTTCAAAATCAAATGTCAGTTTTAAATATTTTTAATTTTCTCAACAATCAAATTGAATTACCATACCTATACTGGATTCCTAAACTAGGTAAAATCTTTACAAAGATACAGAGCGGCTTCCAGTAAATGTTCTACCAAGCCTCTTTCTTTACTCCTCACTAAAATATTGACAGTAGTGAAGGAGAAACTTCAGGAGTGCTGTTCAACAATATCTTCGAGAAGTGGTGTAAATCAGACGTGGATACTTAAGAACTCCAAAGATTTTTTTTAAAGAACTCCAAGGATTTTTTAGATAATTTGAAATTACAAAATTTTACCAAAATCAAAATTTCATCAAAACGTACACGTTTTCAACACTCTTAGCTTAAAGTCCAGGTTTTTTGACATCATAGACAACGGCTTGCAATAAAAATGGATCTCGTAAATTTACTTACCTTGTCATTGGTCAGTTGCAAAACTATTTTGTTAAAAACATTCTGATTGTACACACAAGTACTCCGAAGTTGATTTTAAAAAGATGCTTGAGTTACTGATTGACAATATCTATGTAATTTTTGGAGATAAAGTCTTCCAACAATCTTTCGGAATCTACATGGGTAATAGTGTCGTATTCCGGCAGGATTTTAAAATTATGTTTTGTACTCGATTCGGGCACATCAACATCCGGTTTCCCCAAGATGACTTTCGAAAGCTTCAAAGTACCAGAATTAAAGCGTTTTTTTTTTTTTTTTTTTTTTACAGAATCGGGGGGTTACAAGTCACTTTTATAGAAGAGATCACTTGCTAAGATTATGTAAACTTGGAGCAGAGTTCTAAACGAAGAATCAGGTGTTGTCAGTGGAAATAATGAAAAGGATTTCTTGCCGTACAAGATGTTACAAAATAGTCAACATACATGTGTATGGTATCATTACCATCAAGTCAGCCATGTGATGCCATGGTGTACCTTATCAATAATTGTGGTTAGGAAGCTTCTATATTATCAGGTTACAGGAAGGATAATGGTTACTAGATACATATTGATATAGTGTTCTTCTATAAAATTACATAGTAAACTGTGATGGCGGTACAGAGAAACACTATGGTAAATATTCCGCACTTTATTAAAGCTTACCGTCGCCTATGTGTATATATATAACAGTCTCAGAAGTTACAGCGTGTCTGGTCTGGACAACAGCCAAAGTAGAAGAGAGAGAGGAATGCGGGTACACGTCACACAATGTGTGCAGTGCACCACGTGACAAGAGGCAGCAGGGCAATTCGTGCCCGGTACCTACATGTCCACTACATTCCTCCCCATTTTAAACATAGGGCGTCCCAGCCCGTATCTATAGTACAATGGGACAAACTATAATGTACAAATAATCAAATAAATTAACTCATAGCAGGGCCTATCACTCTTACATACATACATGCACACAATAGCAATATCAATTAAACATTAATGTTCATAATAAAATAATAAGAAAATTAACACAGTTCATGACACAGTCACTCATCGGAATCATCCCCCGAGTCATCTCGGTCCACCACGTAGTCCACACTGCTTCCCGACTCCTGTCGTCCACCACGTGGTCCACAACATCATCCATGGATAGGCTCTGCTACATCTAATACGGCGACGTCTACGGTGCGGCCAAAAGTAGATAGAAAAGGGTACACCAGGACCTGGACATCCTGGTCACAATAAACAAACTACAAGGACCCCCTCACCTGAGGACCAAAGAACACCCTGTAGTTCTGGTACACTAACCCCGCAAGAAGAGCGAAATCCTGTCCCCTCACTGCGGACACAAGCTTGTAAACCTCTCCGATGTGCCGAGGGCTCATCGGACTTACGACACCACACGGCGAGTCCGGACCATCCGACTCGACCAACAACCTGCCGACCGGGACAGCACGCACACCCGACAACTGAACCTCCGACACACCAGAAACCTGCCCGCTAATCCCAAGAAACACAGGTCTCCCTGAGTCTAACCAAAGCTTTACCTGTTCCGGCCCCCCAGAAAAGTTACGCAAAAACAACGGGACCAAGGTAGGAACGAACATACCGTCTAACAAAGTTAAACAATCCTGCATAGGCACGCGGCCTAGCGGATCATCCGCATGTCCCTTAACTACCAAGATCATGCCTGTACTGAAGCTAACTTGGCGGAAGAATTCCGCCAGAACAAATCTCTGACATCTCTGAGTAGCCGGTCCGGAGTAATCCAGACCGATCTCCCCAATAACCCAATTCTTAGCTCGACAGTTCCCGACAACGCGGGCCACATCAGATTGAAGGATCAAGTCCGCGACTCCCGGGGGAATCCCCTGGGCAATCACCCAACGCGGATTACCGTTATCCGAGAGAGGCTCCTCCTTGTACGTGTATGCCACACATCCCCCAACTAACTCAACCTGCAAGCTAACGGGGCGCTGGTCCGCACTCACCAACTCGTTGACATACTGACCCTGGCACCCAGGCATACTCCTAGGAAACCACAAACAATCTACTACCTGCAACAACGGAACCTCCGAACTCTCGGATCAGGAAGGCCGCGGCGCTCCGCCACTGGCGCCTTCCTCCACTGGAAGAACAACAACCACCTCTGGCGGACTCTCCGCCACTGCTGTAGTAGACACTTCTGGCGCCAAACTCTCCGCCGAACTCGGGAGGCTATCCGGCACCAAAACCACTCCACTAACAACTGAATCTGGGAGCAACTCATCCTCCCAAGACTCCCCTAAGTCCGAGCGAGACCGCTCGAGGTAATTCCAAGCACCCATAAAATCAGCACCATTCAGTATAATAGCAATGACTCGCGGATGAGCCAACATAGCAATATGGGGTAACTCCCCCATCCGCACCCTGCGGATCTGTTGCTCTAACGCTGGTACTATCCTCAAATGGGCAGATAACCTAGTCATGACGTCACGCACACTAGCCGAAAATTCCCACTCGACCTTTCCCATCCGCCTAACTACCCACAGGCGGAGTTTCTCTAACAGATTATCTCTATCAGCACCCTCGGGAGCCACCCTCAGCAACTTTGCTAAATCCAAGAGAAACTCCAGGAATACCCCTGGATCATCCACACCCCTAGTGTGAGATTCCCAAATATGCGTCAACATAGGTGTCGCCCCAGAAAACTTCGCGCCACACCCATGTACTGCGCACCTACGAGCACCCCTAGACCTAACCCGACGTGCCCCTGCCCCCTCCGCACCTGCGGGAATTAACCGTAACCTAGCATAATCTGACAACAAACCGGCACGTCCGACCCCTTGAGGTCGGGGAGTACTAACATCTCGCGGTCTAGCGAAAGAGAACTCAGGCTCCCCCATACTCTGAGGTACTAACTCCGCCCAGGAAGGTTCCGGCTGAATAGACACTCCCCTCCCGGCAGGCGGTAAACTTAATGGCACATCCGGGATCCCGGTAATCCGGCCCCGGCCTCGCGGTGCCTCAGAGTCTTCCTCCGACGCACTGGGATTACTCTCCGCTGGAGCGGACGCTTCAGATTCCGCATCACTTCTCTCCTTTAACTCCTCCTCGGCGGAGCTTCCGCCCTCATATATAAATTCATCTATTTCCTTAGACATCTCTAGCGAACCTACAAAAAATAGGTAAAAACATCAAACCTACACCTTCAAACTAATTCATGTGCAAGTACACTTACCCTGATGGAAACCTATCTAATACCTACACATGCTCCCGCATCATTGCGGGAACCCTAACTCCCTAATCTAATGACTGACAATGACGGGACTGCACTCGGGGCAAGTATATTGGGGCACTGTTTTAGCATAATCCTCACTTATACCTACACACCCAGGATGAAACCAGTCCCGGCAGCTGTCGCACTGAACCATTAACCCCTTAGGATTAGATTGTAAGCATAAACAATACTGTCGGGTCTTAGCCCCCTTAGTGGCTCTAGGTCGTTTGGGCGATTTGGGTTTTTCCGGTTTTTCTGACCTTTCCCTTACCCGTTTCCGGGTACCCAGATATGGACCTACTGTTTCTGCTGGTTTAGGGCTGACTTTAGATTTACCCCTACTCCCCGGGTTCCCAGGACTTGACCCTGAGTCCGCGGTCACCAGCGGTCTAACCACATCGCACACAAGGGAACTATCCCCATCTCGGGCTACTGACTGTCCTGGCAACTTGCTCTGATAAGTAACTAACCACTTGGGAAGTTGCCTGGCCTCGCATCTCTTAAGCTTGTCATGGTGCATGACCTTGACATCGCGCCGAGATTTAACGACAAATATTGTATCAGATTTGGCTTCAATAATTACCCCAGGGCCCTTCCAAACAGATTCTACCTTTTTTCCCGCATTGCGGCGCCAATACACCAAATCTCCGACCTTAAACTTATGAGTACGGATCTTAATGTCGTGCGACCTTTTCATTGCCTTCTGCGCGACTTTTAGTTTCTTACGGGCAATGTCATGCGCGCTCTGCACGTTCTGTTCCAGATCACGTACATACCTGTCAATCTCACCCTCCTCCCCATTTTGAAAAGACTGCGAAGGGGGCGGGGAAAACATTAAGGTTGCTGGTATGTTGACTTCTCTACCCAGCATTAGACGATTTGGAGTATATCCGGTGTGGCGATTCACCGCCGACCGCAATGCCCCAGCCAGTGTACCCAAAAACCTATCCCATGTCTTGGGCTGACCATCGATATAGCAACGGACCGCATCCATCAAGGTGCGGTTGTACCGTTCTACTTGGCCATTTCCGGAAGGTCTGTATGGCGTGGTCCGGGCTTTATGAATACCTAACATTGTACAAATTTTACAGAAAAGCTCACTTTCAAAATTACGGCCCTGATCTGTAAAAATTTCATAAGGATAGCCAAATCGCGAAAAGAAATCATTGATGGCTGACCTGGCCGTGACCTCCGCTGTCTGAGATGGGAGCGGAATGCACTCAACCCACTTGGTAAAGTTATCTACCATCATGAGTATATACTCATTTCCGCTATCTGTTCGGGGTAGCGGCCCAAGGAAGTCTAAGTGCACTCTCTCCATCGGACTTCCGGCCTGGTAGCTTTTCATTTCCGATTTATTCGGCAGAGAACCCCTCTTATTCCGGGCACAAATGTCGCATGTCTTGACATATAACTTAATGTCCTTTACCATCCGCCACCAATAGAACTGTTGCTTAAGTCTTTCTTTAGTTCTTTGTATACCTTGGTGACCGGACGACGGAATGTCATGACATAAGTGCATGACCTCGGACCTGAGACTTCTCGGGACTAACAGTCTACGAGGCATGTCCGAGTCTTCCGGTTCTCGCCAAATAACACCTGTCTCGTCCAGTGTAAAACAGTCTCTCTCCAGAAGGTAGCATTTCTCTTCCGGACTACAGATGATTAGGTCATTTTCAGTAGGTAAATTCCCAGTCTCTAAGTACTGTCTCAGGTAAACCATGGCCTCATCGGAGTTCTGTTTATGGGCCATGTCTGCGGGACTGTAAGAACATAGGGAAATTCCCGCAGTGTCACCCTGAGATACTTGACAAACTTGAGGTTTTACTTCCTCAATCTCGGGACTTAAACTCGACACCCCATTGACAGCGATTTCGAAACTCGGAAGTTCAGGGGCACCTGCTGCCAACGGAACATCTGTCCAAGTATTTGTCATAATAGCCTGACGGAGAGGGGGATCTAAGATCTCATAATTAACCCCCTCAGCGGACTGCGTCTCCGCTCTAACAGGCGATTCCTCAAAGAGCTGGGAAAGAGGAATAACATCGTCAATCTCGGTATTAAAGTCATGCCAGCGCTCATGTGCTCGGCGGCAGTACCGGCATCCGCCACATGGCAAATCTTCGACTCTGATTTTAGTAGAGTAACTCTGGCATGTGTCTGGTATGTCTCTAGACAGCGCATCGGCATTCACGTGCTTCTTGCCTGGGCGATGGACTATCCGCATATTGTATTGACTAAGCTCCTCTAACCAGCGAGCAATCTGATTTTGCGGATGCTTGAAGTTCATCAGCCAGACCAGGCTATGGTGGTCTGTCCGGACTGTGAACTCCCTGCCCAGCAGGTAATGGCGGAATTGCCTGGTAAATTTGATCACCGCCAATAACTCCTTTCTAGTAGTGCAATACCGGCGCTGCTCGGATGACAGCACAGCGCTGCCATACCCGATTGTTCGCTCTCTTCCATTCTGGACTTGGCTAAGTTCCCCGCCTACGGCATGATCCGAGGCGTCAGTATCCAGAATGAAGTGACCTGTACTGTTCGGAATAGCAAGTACTTGGGGGTTTGGTCATTAATTGAATGAGTTCCTCGAAGGCGCTTTGTTGTTCAGCCCCCCATCGGAAACCACTCTTTCCGGTAACCGCGTACAGCGGAGCCGCAATTCTCGAGAACTGGGGAATGAAACTACGGTGATAGTTAGCGAAGCCTAAGAAACGCTCAACGCCCTTCACATCGCAAGGGACAGGCCAGTCACGTACTGCCTCAATGTACTGATCCCCCATCTCGACTCCTTGCTCGCTCACGGTTCTACCTAGGAACTCGACTCTAGTTTTAAATAACTCGCATTTCCGAGGCTTAAACTTAAGACCATATGCTCGGAATCGCTCAAACACTTGTCTCAGATTATCAAGGTGAGCATGTGCTGAAACCCCTAATACTAATACATCATCGAGAAAAGCTAATGCAATTTTCCAGTTGAGTCTGTGCAATACCAGATTGATGGCCCTAGCGAAGGTCGCGGGGGCATTACACAGACCGAACCCCATTCTTGTGAATTCGAATAGTCCGTATTTGGTAATAAAGGCTGTCTTTTTCCGGTCTTCCGGAGCTATTTTAATTTGCCAATAGGCCGCATTGGCGTCCAGTTTAGAAAACCAGCGGTTTCCCGCTAGCGTGTCCATGCACTCTTCGATGAGTGGTAAGGGGTACGTGTCCTTGACTGTCACCTTATTCAGGGCTCTGTAGTCCACGCACCAGCTGACACTACCATCCTTCTTCCGGACTAGGACCGGGGCAGACGCCCAGTCTGACGAAGATGGCTGGATAACTCCGGTCTCTAACATTTTGTCTAGATGACCCTCTTCCTCCCCCTGGAACACAGCAGGAGTGCGGCGCATCCGCTGCTTAACGGGAAGTGCATCGCCAGTATCTATTCGATGCTCAATCTCGGAAAAGTTTCCGAGGTCAAGGTCATCTACAGCAAAAACATCAGCAAACTCTTTAACTAGCTCTACAGCCTGAGATTTCACTTCCACAGGCGCACTCTTACCTAACTGATCTAGGAGTGGGGCTATGTGTTTATAATTAGTTTCCCCCTCCGCTGACATGCGACGCACTGTGGGATCGGTACTCTTGACAGACATAGCAGGAGCAGCTTCCCCTACTTTAGTACCAGTCTTGATTATATGACTTCTGTCAGTCAGGTTTAAGATACATAGCTTAGCTTTGTTTCCTGCGGCATTGTATGTCCGCGAAGCTACTATACCA